CTGATGACGGAGGCAGTATGACCTCTGAAACGTTGGTTAACATCGACCAGACTACACAGCGCAATAACCCAGAAGACAGAAATCTTCATGCTGTCAGTAACTACATAGTGTAAAATAGTGGGATGAGTCATGAATAGGAAAGGATATGAAATGAATGATCATGGCCTAATTTTAGGTATTGTCTCAGTCCTAACATTTCATCTCATTCATTATTTCGGTGGTCAGGGTATATCCCAGAATCCTGTTAGTGTTAGTCTAATATTCTTATGATTAGACCACTAAAACTAGTATCAATAGGACCTGGTATTCGTATCCAAGCTACTGCCACATACACGACAATGAAGTAAAACAAATTTTAAAAATAGGCAATTTGCTGGAAGTTTTGGAGTCAGAAGATTCAGGTCCCAAAATATTGTGTATACCTAAACTGAATTATCTATTTCTTGGTACATCATTCATACAGAAGAAAATGTGCTTTTACAGCTAGCATGCAGAAGTGGATTTGAATACAGAGCTGTTGAGATTTGTGATTTGATGCCCTCACATCATGTGGTCCAACTTGCTATGAAGTATGCATCCAAACTGGGCAAAATGAATCTTGCTGATAAGGTTGCAGAAGTGGCTACTCGCAAGGTGGACGAGAGAGAACAAGGCTTCCAGAATGATCAAGTTGATAATATTTATACATTAAGGTAAAGTATTTTAACTTATTCTTTGTTGAAGACCTGGGGAAACTTAGTAAAGGTCTTACCATAGATCACATTGTTATATGTAAGACTTGAGGTTCTCACAGCGGTGAGTATGAAGATATCCGTCTTCTGGGTTATTGCGCTGTGTAGTCTGGTCGATGTTAACCAACGTTTCAGAGGTCATACTGCCTCCGTCATCAGGGCGATGGATATGCCAATAGGATGTGAGGTGCTAGATATTGGCATATTCATCGCCCTGATGACGGAGGCAGTATGACCTCTGAAACGTTGGTTAACATCGACCAGACTACACAGCGCAATAACCCAGAAGACGGATATCTTCACATTGTTATAGTTTGAGGACCAGGAAATATCCTGAATAGATATTATTATTTGATAGAGATGGTTCTGAACTTCATTGCAAAGAGGACGGCTAATACAAATGGATCTATCAACCTCCTTGAGAGGTATGATGATCTGTGGATGAAGAAGGGGGTTAAGATCCTGTATCTTTGACTTCATTGGGCCCCGATGGGGTATGATGTGTGTCATACAGCCTGTATTATGAGGGAAGAGCACATGACACATGACTTACACCTTAATTCTATTAGCAAGAGCGGTATTATGCTTATTTTAGGTACGCATCAGACATGGAGTCCCGTTTTCTGCCTTCTAGAAGCATGTCCCTTGAAGAGAGCTCGAGTACATATGGTACCAAAGTAAATCATCTTTTAGAAAATGCTACCAATGCATCTACAGGTAATGTAACTAGTTTTATACTATTGTTTTGACATTGTAACTCATCATGGTAATTAATAGTGGAGTGGAGTGCCCAGAAGTATTAAGAGTTCCCCAGATTATACGAGGCTCGTCCACAAAGTAAGTTTCCCTGGGGCCGTTTACAGAAACAAAACACAATTTCATGGAAATATTTATTGCAACAGATACAGCAAGTGTCCAGCTATTTTTCAACATATTCGCCACCGGAATCGAGACATTTGTCATACCGTGGGACCAACTTTGGAATCCCTGTGCGACGCACCATCTGCTTGCTCATGACGTTAGGCCCATAGACCCGGCACAGCTGACGATGAATTTCGATCGGCGCTATGCTCTGTGCATTCAAAAACTTTATCACTGACCGCACTTCACAGTCGGCGGGAGCTGGAATAAGAAACTCCATCTTCAACGATGCTACTGTGAGAACGCGGGAAGTACCGTTAGTGCATGCGCCATGCTACGTCATTGCTCTATCACGTACGCACAGTCGCTTCGCGCAATATAAGGTTTGCTAGCTGTGGGACGAGTGGGAAACTTACTTTGTGGACGCGCCTCGTAGTTTTCTTACCCCGATGTAGGTTAATGTTAATATGGTCTCATCTATACATTTGTCTGTGTTGGTACATAGACTTTCTTGGAATTCCTGTTTAGTCTGGTGATAAAGTGATCATATACAAGTACATTTTAGTAATGCATAAAATCTGAGTCCCTCAATGTAATCAAATCAAATCAAAATCATATAATATCCCTACAAATTGATAATGCTGTTATCACATTTTGGGATCCTCATTGAGTCACACTGCATTTACATTTCTTTAAATCATGTTGATGTTTTCTTCCCTTAATCCAGAGTCAGAAAGTCTGCTTCTGGCAGCTACAAAACAAAAGAAATGTGAGGCTCAGACAGAGATCAAGCCGCTTATGTCTCTGGGTCAAAAGAGACTTAATCCATTTAAAAAGTCAGTTGCCAGGGTAGAAAGCAGCAGAGGTTTGGCAAATCTTGATGCTTTATATGCACAGCAGAAGTCCGATAAAAACAAGTGTAATTCTATTCTGGAGCAGCCTCCACCACCACAAAAAACAAAGGTACATAATCATCACATTATCTAATTTGACATGAAATATTTTTGGTGTGAGAACACTCTAAGATTTTACTGGAATAAATAAAAGCCTAGCATTAAATGTGACTGCAAGGTTAAAATATGGCATTAATTTTATCCTCTACACAAAATAGTTATGTTCTGTGTTATTGTCAACAGAGAAATGTGGTGTGTCCATTTTTGTCTTTGCGAAAATGGTTCATCAAATAGATGAAGTTTGTGCTAGATAAAAGTTTATTTCATGTTGTTGTTAATGCAATGGAAACCTTGAAGATGGAGGCAGTATGCCTCTCCATAACTTGGATAACTACTGACTAGACTGCATAGTGTCACATCCCAGATCACAGTCTGAACTAATGGAAAATGTGCAGTCGCTGAGCAGTATGTGCAAAGTATAGATGTAAAATTTTCAACATTTATATGTCTGAAATACACCATGCTTTTCAAATGTACATTTGCAGTGAAATATTTTTAAATTGCCAAGAAATTTTGTTTTTTATTGTGTTAATTAAAACTAATGTCATTATGTGAACTGGTCCTTGCACAGATAAAAAACACTGCTTTCCATATAATTTATGGTTTGCATACATTAGTATCTGCAAAGTTTTCAGAGAAAGTTGATATAAAACATGAATTTTATTTATGTAGTTTCAGGGAATGAAATTGGTGTCTAGAGATTCAACTTAAACTTATCATGTATATTTAACATTTTCATTATGTAATTTAATTCCTTAATTTCAACTAAACTGTTGTGAACTGGATCTCTTAAAAACTTTTGTGTGTATGGCATGTTGGGTTTTTTACTGTGTGATTTGGAACATGCAATTTGCATAACAGATTAAACAAACAACACTGTCAGCACTCAAACCAGCTGATTCACCTGCAGTGCGAACAACTGCCAAAAAACTACCCACCTTCTTTGAATGGTATGAAAAAGAAAAGGATGCTCTTGCAGAGGAATTCCCAGACCTGAGTGCTTCAGAGTTATCACGCCAGGGCATGAAGAGGTTCAAAGGGTCAATACAGAGTGATACACAGGTAAGAATCTTTAGTTTTAATTTGTACCTTCTAATGTAATAAATATGCTATTTAAAAACTATGACATTAACATCTATAAACTTTGGTTAGAATGTAATTGGAATTTTGTGATCAGAGTCTACTATTTTAGATATTATTGTAGTTTAATATTCAAAATTTAGATAAATGTTCATGGACATAACCCAGGTAATATGACTAACCATCAGGCTCTTACAATCTGTGTATTAACATTTAACTGCAATGCAAATAAAAGTACATTAGATATAAATGCTATAATCTACAGATTAATTCCATATTTACTCAGAAACTTGTGTTCATTTGTTAAAAGACAGGATTGGGATTTGGTTGAAAGGAGAGAAAGGAAAGGAACTGTCATCACATAGCACAAAATAGCATTATTATTATTATTATCCCATCTATTCACCATTTTGTGGGGTATGTACTTCCATGTACCGGAGACAGACCTTGTCCCTAAGGTACATAGGGCAGCAGCTATTTCCGGGATACATATTGTTTTTAGCAAGTGCCACATATATTATATAATTTTATTTCATGACTGTCTTTCGGATGATGTATGAAGTTCTCAAAATGGCGGTCTTCTGCAGTTCCCTGATGTCGTGTTTGCCCGGGATGTTGGCCAAATATTTCCTGAGTGACCTGGAGACAGTTCCTGTTGCTCCTATAACTATTGGGATTACTTTTGCTTGAACTTTCCACATTCTCTGTATTTCTATGAGAAGGTCCTTGTATTTCAAGATCTTTTCTGCTTCCTTCTTCTTATTATTATTATTATTATTTTAATTCATATGATAGATTCAGAATTCAAGGGAGTAATTCTGAAATGCTTTTGGGCTAGTTAGTATCCAAGTTTTTGATGTACATTGTCTGGTCCCATTATTTCTTGGTATGTTATTTTTCTGCCAGTTAGAAATATTCCCTCTCTGTTTGTCCCTGAAATACAGGTGCAATTTAGAGATTAATATTTTCCTGCATTTAGCATGACAGTCACATCCAGTTATAAATTAGAATTTTACAGCTGATGCATTTTAATTTTCATTGAACTTCATTCAATTAACAGTATGCAGACTCATCAAAGGCTTTTAACAAGCTTGTTTAACATTTCAAACATTGGTAGCTGTGAATAAATGAGTAAACCCATCACTCATATCCTTGATTTCTTTCTATAGAATTTTCCTGGAAATATAGTTCTGATGCTAATACAGTGGCTAGCATTTGATCATGTTTGTGATCAAATTTTCTGTTTGAGAATTAAAGCAGATTATGAGAAAAGTGATATTTTAGAAAGATACTGTATTTCCTCAGTTTTAAAATTCACTTCACATTTTAGAATTTCTGTAATCAGGGTGTGTTACAATTTATTGTGTCTAGGAATTTATATAGTGTCTTTTAAATGAAAACCTGTTAATAAATCAAGGGTGCATCTTAAAATCGAGGAAATATGGTAGTTATATAGCATGGATGATCAGTGGTATCAGTTTTAAAATGAAAGCAAATAAGCAGCTATACATCTGTACTACATCTGTTCTATCCAAATGTTCATTACCATGTCATGACCTTAAATTGTATTATGTAACGTCACTGGCAACTGCATACAACAATGAAATGTACTTTATATTATTTTATGATCCTCAAACTCTGGACATGCGTCCAGAAAATTGTGAGAGATATGTTTGTAATAGTGCTATGAAGAAGCTGGCAGAAATGAGGGCCACTGTATTAAATTTCCATCTTCATATATCCTGATGATTGCGTTTTACAGGTCCCAGTAACTAATAGTTCTGCAGAAAGCCAGACTCCAGTACCAGAGACCAAAAAGAGGAAATCAGAAGAAGAATCTGGGTTACATGAAGAAAATCCACCAAAAAAGACAATTACATCTTCTTCCTCTAAGCTAATGGCCTTTGCTTTTAAGAAGTCATGAATTTCTGAGACAGATTTATGGGTTCTATTTTATAAATGTGCCAGACTGCTTGTAGACTGGGTAGATTGTATAATTCACTGTGTATGTTACTTCCTAACTGACAGAGTGGGTTATATTTATAAATAAAAGTTTGGCATTAAGATTCTTTTATTTATATACTTGTGTTATTAGATTATATATTTTTTAATAAAAATAAAGTATAGATTTGCATGTACCAAAATCAGCCCAGCCTTTTAAGTGATCAACCCTCATGACATGACATCAGTTTTCCTACATAAACCATGTCACTGGCAGCAGGGGGCTATTTTAGCAGTGACTAGAGCTGTATTCAATGTATTTAATTTGTGGCTTGCCTTGTTTTTGTAACAATCCCTAGTCTTTCATATAACATCATAAAGCAATTAAAGAGTACTGCATCTGGAATATCAGTCACTTAGCATGCCTGAAAAGAAAGGACACAGATGTAAATAGATGTGTGACTTATATGATAATGTGTAGTAAGGTGTGCCATTCATAATTTCAACAAAACTAATAATGAGAACAACATTGGACAAAATTCACAGTAAGATACTAGTTTTAAAGGCAGTATAACAATACTGAACAGGATAGTTTGAACACTGAAGTTTTCATGGAGAAAAATCAAAGGCTTAAGAGAATACTGCTAGAAAGTTGGTTGAAAAGTTGTCCCCAATTTGCTTCTACACCCACTGTCTGATAATGCCTCTTATTGTAAGTCATCTTCCTAGGGGTGGGGGGGAAACAAGATTGGCTTACTGAAAAAGGTATTCCATATTGCACAGAAATCTGAATTATATGAGTTAATCAAAGCCCACAGATGTCACTTTAAGACATTCCAGATTGACAGACTACTTGCTAATTATGAACAGTTTTCTGACTTGTTAAGACTTGTGTGGCACAAACAATGTGACCTTCAGGCTAGGATTGCAAGAACATTACTGGAAGATAAAATTGTCTCTCTTGGAAGAAAAGTGGTTAGCTCAGTGGAAACATATAACTGATATTGATAATAAATATACTGAACCTGACCACATAATGGACCAAGCATCAGAGTGCTTTGCTATCGGGCTGCTGGAAGAATCTAAGACAAGTGACAGGCCTATGGATGCTGGTGAGGCTGAAGACAAAATTAGAGGGATTTACCTGCTTTACATACTGCACAATAGAAACTTGACACATTAGTCTAGACATATATTTTGTAACTAGAATAAATTCTGTGTTTAATGAAATCACAGACTACCAGCTGTGCAAGGTGGTTTAATGAAGAAAACACATTTTGAGAACCATCCTTATCCTCAGGGTACTGTAGTTGTACGAAGATGGTTCTCGAAATGATGGTGTTTTCTTCATTAACCACCTTACACGGCTGCTAGCCCCAGGATTCATTACAAGTAGTCGTGAAAGCTTCAGATCATACATATCCTATGTTGTATGTAGACTATTCAACTTGCAGTATTGTTTGTGTGATGTTTACCCATATTTTAATTTTATATTGATTAATAACATAAAGTGCTGGTCCATTACTTATTTTATAAACAGCTGATCCCAGGTAAAACAATTACATATAGCGTATCATAACGGCTTTATTATTCTGTTCTGCAACTTTAATTCATGCATTTTAATACAGGGCAAATTTTTGACAAAAATAGAAAAATTCGCCACGTTGCCAACAATCTATTAACGAAATGCGCAAAAATGTTTATTTCTTGTCTTCCTTTTATGCCGTTCTTTTTTTACACACATGCATGTTATTGTTCACATCGTCCGTGGCGTAGTTGGCATTTATACTTTTCGTTCGAGGTGTGGAAAGCTGTGGGAACCGTGCCATATATGTCGATATTTCGGAATTATCAATGCGCGTTCCTACATTTCATGTATAGTTTTCAGTTTTTCAATCTATATTTTCTTGTCCATTAGCGATGCCATATTAAGTCACGTTGCCAACTTACAGCAATGAATTACCTATACACAAGACGATGGTTAATGTCCAAAGAGTTTGTTGTTTTACCTTCTTGAATGTTAGTCTCTTGCTGTATTCGTTGTAAACAATGTGCGCCATTTTAAAACTAATCATGCTAATGTGTGAACATATGGTGTATGAAAGGTTATGCAGTTCGAAATTTATACTAGTTTTGTGAAATATTTCAGGAGCATCTTGTAATATTCAAACAGCGTAGATTAGAATCAAAATGACTTACTTAAAATCATGGGAAGAATTTGAGAAAGCAGCAGAAAGGTTGTATTTGCAAGACCCTAAGAAGGTAGGTTTTCGTGATGTTAATGTTGAAGCAGGATTAATGTCTTATTATTTTACTGCTTTGGACCGAACTGCAGAGTGCTTTATCTGGATGTAGTTAGGCGAATACAGATGCCATTTTCCTAGTTAGGCAGGTCCGATATCCAGGTTGTGAGGCATGTATGCCATTAAGAACTGTATCATTGCCAGTCTGGTGCTTCTAAATATGCCATGCTTAATGTTCCGTCTGTTTTATTTCATATGAAGAAATTTGACCGTTCGTTTCAAATTTGAAAAATTAAAGGTAAAAGTGTTGACTCTAAAATATGCCCAATTGCACCGTACTAGACTACCTCACGCTGAATGCCAAGCTTCACCCCGTTGGGCAAACTTCCTATGAAGGGAATGATGGATTTAGAACATTTTTGCATGGCTTATGATGTGTATTTAAATTCAGATTTTCACATATTAAGGATTTAGTAATGGAACACAAAACATGAGCTGGGGTAGCTCAGTCAGTATAGTGACTGGGCAAACGGGGTTCGATCCCCGACGGGGTCATTGGATTTTTCCTCTATCCTTCGCATCCAGACTAGTTCTGGGGCCCACCCAACTTCCCAACTAATGGGTACTGGGGTCCTTTCCCCAGGGGTTTGATGCTGACCACTCACCCCAATCTAGTACAGAGGTTAAGAATGAGTAGAAGCTATACCCCCAAGTTCCTATTTGGCATATAATGGGACAGCTTTACTTTTAATAGAACACAGAACAGTGGTAGCACAATATAACTTTTTACGTACCTAATATGTAAGGTGATTCTCATTTTAGTGACAATTGCTGTGGCTCACAAATTGTTCTGATATATTTAACTATACCTAACCTAAAAGAGAATTTAATGTTCTACAATTATAATTGCCGTCACAGTGCCCACTTGGTCTGAGGCTTGGGCCTTGTGCCGCTTGATCACTGGGATTGTGGGTTCGAATCCCACTCAAGGCATGGATGTTTGTCCACATCTTTCTGTGTTGTGCTGTCCTGTGTACAGGTAGAGGCCTTGCGATGGGCCGATCACTTGTCCAAGGAGTCCTACCAACTGTCTATAGATCAGAGCCAACAAAAAGTTGGGACCCGCAGATGCTCAGGCACTGAAGAACGGGTCATATAAAAAATAAATAATTATAATTATTTTAAAGCATGGGGTTGCTCCAAGCAGCATAAACAGAATTTAAATCAGTACATAGAAACATAATGCTCTTTCCTTTAAAAACAAGGTGGGTCACATAGCCCTGTAATTAAATAAGAAAGTGCATCCTTTAAAGCAGAATTTAATTTCTTCTTGCTTGTAACAGACCATATTTTTAACAGTTTAAAATATCCCATCTCTCATAAATTTCTACATTCACAAATAAGAAAAGGCAACACTTGCATTACCTTTACAAAATCCCTGGATCCTTAGAGAGAATTAACCTCTTTAATTGGGGTATTGCCTGAAAACTTGGGCTTTTTGGTGCCCTTCAATTTAGGAAGTGCTAGGTACCCTGGATTCTGTAAGTCTTCCAGTACTACCTAGCTTTTAAGCTTCTTTCTGGCATTCCAGACACTTGGTTTATGCCAGATGAAGCCTGTCTACCTTTAGGCTACATATTTTAAATCACCCTCATCCACAGGTTTGCTGGAACTGCCAGCCCCCCATTATGGTGTGCCAGATCTTCTGGTTCCAAATTCACAAATGGAAATACCAGCTACTCATGGGGATAGCCAGAACTGTTAGTTTCCAATCAGCAGGTGTGCTGGAAGCACTAGCTTCCTGTGGTGGTATGCCAGAACCATTGATTCACAGAGTTGATCTCCATAAATAATAAAAGTAGCTTTCTTACAAATGGTGATAGCACCCCCCTCCCAGTTTTCTTCTGAGTTCCCAAGGTGGTATACTAGACCTACTGGCTCCCTGCCAAGAGAAAATTTTCTCAGCAGCCTGGGTTGGCTTTTCTGGATATTATTTTCAATTGTGAGGTACTGAGAGAAATCAGCTTCCAAGCGGAGGCTACATATTGGAGAATACATTTATATAGCTTTGGCCCACTCAAGGACTACATGCAGGTCACTCTTGTCCTCTGGTTAGCTGGCACCACCAGTTCCCTGTTGTATGTCAAAAAAATAGGCTGCCAATCCACAGGTTTGCTGGAGCCACCAGCCCCCTATGGTGGTATGTCAGAATTACTGGCTCCCAAGGTAATCTCTGTGGAAAGCAGGGCTGTGGAGTCGGTAAAAATGTACTGACTTCGACCTCAATATAAAATCTTAAGAACACTCTCGCTACCATGTGAGCCGCCAGCGGCCTCACGCTTTGTGAGATTCAACAACACATTGAGTGACATGGTGTGGGAATAATGCTTTGTAACTTTGGCTCCAGCACCTTAAGAATACAAACTGTCTACAAATCAAACGATTTCTGCAGTAACCATTATACATATATTTAAATATATGTTCTTCTTCTTATAGCGTTATAACCCTGTGTGGGTCTTAGCTTGTTCGATGAATTTTTTCCATTCTGTCCTATCATTCACAATTCTTCTCCATCCCCTCACTCCCATCGTCCTCACATCCTCCTCCAC